ATGTCAATATCGGCGGCTGCCTTAATCAAGGATGTCTTGAGTGACTCCAAATTGGGATGAGGCTTTGAGCACGCCTTTTCCTCCAAGTGTTGCCATATCTTGTAATCTAACGGATTCAAATCTGGACTGGAGGAGGGCCAGTCTTCGTGCCGGATGAAGTCGATTTCACGCGCCGCCAGCCAGTCTTGTGTGCTCTTCGCTCTATGAGCTGGCGCCGAATCTTGTTGGAATACCCAGTGCCTGTTATTGAACATGGTATGAGAAACAGGTTCCACAAGGTTCGTCAGGACTGTATTTTGATACACAACTGCATTCGTTTTTACACCTTTCTCACAAAAATGTACCTCTGTTAAGCCCCAATAAGAAACTCCCAACCATACCATGAGCGAGGATGGAAAATGACCTCGTTGGACACGCGGAATACGGTTGCTCGCTTCTTCACTACTGTGTGCGTACACCTTATCATTTTGTTTGTTGTAGCTCTCTTCTACGGTAAAAATTTTTTCATCCGAAAAAAGAATTTCCCGATATTTTTTTCCCGCGTACCGCTTCAACAAAGCGCGGCATCTCTTCAGTCTCAGGTCCATTAGACGAGCATTCAAACGATGTCCTGTTTTTCTTCGATATGCCCGAAGCCCTAAGTCTTCATTTAACACCCTTTTCACCGTGGTTCTGCTTAACCCCATCTGAAGGGCCAACAGTTTCTGCTTACGTTTGGGATTTCTTTGAATTCGCGCCTTCACAGCTTTTATCACTGCTGGAGTCCTAACAGACCGAGGGCGACCACTTCTTGACCTGTCATCTACACTAGAGTCTTCATTGTATCGTTTGATGGTACGATAAACGAATCTTTTGGTTATATTCAAATTTTTCAGTATGTTAAAAATTTGAATTGGCGCGTAACCGCAACGATGCAACGCAATAACTGCAACACGGTCTTCTTTAAGCGTCCACTCCATATTTAAAAATGAGTAAAATTCTAAAAGTATACATTTTTATTTTCATGAACAATTCGAAATTCGAATTCAATAAACTTTTTTGTGGCCAGCATTCTAAAAGAAAAGTTTTTACTGTGTGACAATACTTATGACCTGACTAGTTATGTTAGGCTTAGGCTACTAAAAATAAAATATAACTTAATTCTACGAGTATGAATCAACGGTTTTGAATTTTTTTATTGCCATAATATGCTGACGTAGTAGCGAATCACCTGGTAGGAACTACTTGCTGACACTTAAGGACACTAGTAATGCTAAGGACACAGCCAAGCCAGTACTGACGGGAAGTATTTATAGTCGCTGGATATTCGAGGAAATCTTGGATCTCTGCGTATTTTTCAGATGTTTTCCACAACGAATGTAACAAACAGCTAATAATGAATATGGTATTCTTCTCTTTTTTATTTTGAAGTCACTCGCCTTATAAGTCATCCAGTTTTACCTAGAACCACTTGCTTCTTACACAGTAAAACTTCATTAATATTTTCTTCCGAGATTCTTTCCGCTTTGAAAGATGGAAATTAACTCCCCTTATTCCCCGTATTCTCAGTATTCTTACAGCGCTACGACTTCTACCCATTACCGGTGGCTGTAACTTTTTTACATTATACATTGCTGCGTTTTCTTATTGGAATTCTAAAAAAAGATTTCTGTAGAATAAAGATATATAAATTTAAACTAAATCGCGATTGAGTTGCAGAAGCATTCTAAAAATAGTAATAACTGTTGGTGATTTGTATGACACACATACATTAGATTGGAAGACAATTTAAAATCAGTTGATGCGCAGTATAAGCGGTCCTGTGCGGGGACTGGATGAGTACATTCTAGATTTTTTAGATTGTAAGTACAATTATAATTGTACACAAACGAGCATACGGCCCTCCTGATGATAAGTCATGGATATCAGCAAAACCAGTAGCACAACCAACCCGAAGCCTAATAATTTTTTTGAACACTTATCTGCTAGTAGTCTCGAGGGCCTATTATAGTTTCACCTTGATTGGTTAGCGTATCACTCTTTAACATTTAACGTTTAACTTAAAAAGAGCAGTACTTCGCTGTACCTATCATCAAATCGGAATCGTAACCCACTGGGATCCGGTAAGAAATTCAGTGAATCATAGAGTACTTATAGGACTATAGAAGAATTTGCCAACTAATTTCATTTTAGAATGCACATTAACTTCGTATTTCTTATTAGTTATTTCCTTTATTTTTTACCTCAAAATAAAATTGAAAAAGATGCTTTTAATTGAAACATCATCTTTTTTATTAATCCAATTTTAGCCTATTTTTTAATGTGTATGTATACCAAAACTAATTTCTGCTGTAAATATTAAAAACTATATATATAAGTGGGAAGATCGGAACTTTTTGGTTAATTCACAATAAAAGAAGAAAATATAACTGACAGATATAAAAATTGACAGAACGATGTTACGAATGTGTATGTAGTATTTTTTTGAAAGATTAAAAGATTTTGTTGTTAAACTAAATATCCACTAAATTTCGCCATACCATCCCACATATATATATGAACATATATTAAAAACTACACGTTAAAAAAATCCAAAATATATTCGGTACGTTGAAGGGAAACGGTCGTCCAGTCCTCTGGCAATACCGATCTAAATTGGGGTCGGTTATCACTCACCATTAGCATAAAAAAATAAACATTTAGGTTTGAATTCTAAACATTATTTAAATGAATGTAGCGTTGTCTTCCCGGAAAGTTTGTTCAATGTTTGAATTTTCATGTTGCCGTCCTTTTTTGCAACTTTTTGTACATGGGGGTATCCAAGGCCCAACTTCAGGCTCAGGGAATTCAAAGATCACATAGACACCGCCATCTACCTTGGGAAAGTATAAAAGCTAACCTATATTCCGGACACATAATTGCTTTGCAGCTTGAACAGATATGGTGAAAATAGTCGATGGACACACAATGCGTTTTACAATCAGCTCTAACTATGAATACGAGCGAGATAGACAGAGATAGAGTAGGAAAGTGTCAAGAAGATATTGCAACAATGGAAGCAGCACACATAACAGCAGTACGAGGCTTGTGCATATACTTACAACCGTACCTATTACCTATTAGTTGAAGTGTATTAGACTACTATCGTCTTGGATCCACAGGTCTCTATTTAGTTTAAAATTGTCTTTTTTTTATCAATACCTATAATTTTAACAAAAATAAAATCGACTTCAATGAAATAAAATGACAAATTATAAATATATTCGAATTCAATTACACATGCATTATTAAGAATAATTCATATCTGACCTGATCAGATTTTAATAAAATTCAATTGGAACGAGTTGAGAAGTACTAAATAAATAATAGATTCATCAAAATTGATTCAACTAGAAAAATGTTTCCAGATAAGGACAAATAAAAATTTAATTTTGAAGTCTGTTTAAAAAAAAAAGTAAATTAAGATGCATTTTTCGTAACAAAACTTATATGTTAAATCTTATCTATTTCTGTCGCGATTCAGTCATTATCTAAAAGGCAGTAAGGAAGAAAAGCAGAAACAGTACAATAGAGATGTCTCAAAGCTAGAGATTTTCTGGTAACTACTGAATACTGGGTAGGCCGTGAACTCGTTCAGTCATCTATACAACAAAATAACAGGTCGGGGAAAGAGTTTCTTCGCTATTTTTAAGAAAATTCACAACACTTTTTTATATAGTTTATTTACATTTACCTAAGTATGTAGGTACAATTTTGTTCGATAACTTTTTGCCATCTTGTAGGTAGGGATATGATCCCATTGCTATAGAAATTTTGGGGTTTCTGATCAAAATTTTGCGACAATTGGTTTTGGCAGTCCTCTCGTGATGTTAACCTGACACTACCTAAAGAATTCTGAAGAGACCGAAACAGGTGGAAATCTGAAGGAGCAAGGTCAGGACTACACGGCAGATGCATTAACACCTCCCAGCCAAGCTCTCTTAATTTTTGCTGAGTGGCTAAAGATGTGTGAGGTCTAACGTTATCATGATGAAAAACCACACTCCTTCTGTTGATTAATTCCGGCTGTTTTCTCTCAACTTTTTGGTTTAATCTCATCAGTTTGTTTACAGTAGAGTTCAGAATCGATGGTCCTGCCTGGTGGTAACAGCTCATAATGAATAATGCCCTTCCAATCCCACCACACACAAAGCATCACCTTGTTGCGAGTTAACCCGGGTTTCGCCACAGTCTGTAAAGCCTGACCGGCTTTGGACCACGACCTGTTTCGCACGTTCTTGTCGTACGTGATTACGTGATCCACTTTCCATCACCACTTATCAGCTTCTTCAAAAATGGTTCGGTTTCATTACGTCGTAATAAAAAATCACAAATGAGTACACGGTTCATTAGGTTTCTTTCAGTGAGCTCGTGAGGTACCCAAATATCGAGCTTTTTTGTGTACCTAGTTTTTTCAAATGCGCCAAATCTGTTTTTTGGTCAATTCCTAGTTCTTCAGCTACGTCATAACTACTGATATGCCGATCTTGCTCCACTTTTTAAAAAATGGTATTCATTTTATCCATAATAGGGCGACCAGAGCGACGTGCATCTTTGACATTAAAATTTCCGGACTGAGAACCCTTAAACCAAATTTGTGTTACTCTCACAGATACTGTACTAGGTCCATAAATATTGCAAATTTTTTTCGCGGCTTACATTGCATTTTTGCCTTTTTTGTAGTAAAATTTTAAAATGTATCGAATTTCTTCATTATTCACTCATCTTGACGGTACGAAAAATAAATAAAAATCACAATTTTTCCTAATTTGAATTTGGAATTATCTTCTTTAAAATTTAAACTTTTAATGATACCAAAACCAGCCAGATACAAATAGTTTAACCAAAGAGATTTTATTACAAGTTCATACATACTATAATGCGTAAAGACTTTTTCCCCAAACTATTAAAAGGAATATAACAGAAAAAAAATTGTCGATTACTGTCAGACAGCAGAGAATGCAACCGAGTTATTGTTTCAGAAACATGGATCCAGAATGAAGTGTTCAGCTTGTAAGATCATCGCGCATACGGCGTGCATTGACATCCTTATGGACAGAGTCCAATTCACATGCAAGCCTACATTCCGCGACGTGGGTGTACGTCAGTATCGCGAGCAGACTGTCACGCATCACCACTGGGTACATCGCCGCTCTGAGAAGGGCAAGTGCAAGGCTTGCGGCAAGGTCAGTTACTGCACTCTCGATTACTTTACTATTTCTAACAATTTTTATATACGCCATAGTCTGTTCGTAAGTTTATTAAGAAAATAATCAACTGCAGTTTTTGGAACGAAGTTCCTTATGGGATGATACGGAGGGGTACCCTAACCGGGAAAAAACGTCCGTAACGTAAGATTTTTATTAGTAATGCACACAGTGTAAGCCTTAACTTTGTAATAACGTACAAAAAATAACATATTTTTATTACATTATATATTTTTTATAAATCGTTGTGAATAAAATACAGTTGATAACTTTGTAAAGTACCTAGTTTTTTTTTTTTATCAATAAAAAAATCATAATAAAAAATGTATAGGTACCCGAATAATTATTTACTTTATACCTCGAATAGAACTTAAAATTAATATTTTTATAATAAGGAACTTCGTTCCTATCCGGTATCCCACGACACTACACATCTTTTTTAGTTTATTGAAATGTTATTGAAGAACGAAATAATTTCCCTTTTGTTGTACCTATAGAAAACAATTATTATAAAACTGTATGAACAGATTNAAATGTATAGGTACCCGAATAATTATTTACTTTATACCTCGAATAGAACTTAAAATTAATATTTTTATAATAAGGAACTTCGTTCCTATCCGGTATCCCACGACACTACACATCTTTTTTAGTTTATTGAAATGTTATTGAAGAACGAAATAATTTCCCTTTTGTTGTACCTATAGAAAACAATTATTATAAAACTGTATGAACAGATTACGTGTATAATTTGCTTTTAAGTACTTCAGTGACTAAAATGTTTTTCATTTGTCGCTATAATAACTCACGTGCCTGACATGTTGAATATTATTCGTAAGTTAAATCACGCGTTTTGCTTTCACGGCAGCTTAGATTTTCATTTGTGATTTTTTTTTGGTTCGTTTATCCTTAATGCCGTGCTTATGTTTATAGATAATCGAAAATAACGAGCCAATATCAACAGTAGTACACTAATAAATTAGTGACAATTTATTATTAAAAAAAAGAACACAATATTCCTAACCTAAAAGTACATGTTATTATCCGCAACATGCTTCGTCCGATTAAGGAAATAAAGTTATCAGCAACATGCTTCGTCAAAAAGTACAATACTTACTTTCAGCTGCAAGCGTCGTCATAACAAATTAACTAATATATAATAAAATAACTAAATAAACTAATAAATTAGGCACACGAAAAAATGTTTGGTAATAACTTTTATCCCAAACCATTTATTTTGAAATAAAAGTTGACTTCGTCGAACGACCTACGTAATTACACTTCCATATGTGTTGCGTTAGAGCGCGCGAACCAACCACTCACTCTTTTTGACACAAAGCTTAATTGAGTTTTCCATTTTTAAAAGGTTACCGCAAATTATAAGCTTTTTTTAGAGCACAGTATTCATACTCTTTGAAAAATACCCTTTGCCTTATCGTTACCCTTATCGTTAAATAACGATTTCCTTAAAGTGTAAATATATATGTCTATAATTTTATAATCACAGCATTCTCGATTAAAAAAACAGAGAAAGACATTACTAACATCCCACAATTTGATTTAGACGTTGTGGTGAAATTGTGGTTTGCGTGTCAGCCAATTTTAATTTACATACATAGTGGAGCCTTCGGCAAAGTGAGAATTATTACAGTCCGTAGGTATGCACGTTGCTAACTTCTCAAAATTTACTCTATATTCCCCCCTACAACAGACATGCAAATACACGCTGGGGTGCAATTAAACTCACTCTGTCTCTGCATAACGGTAAACTAGGAAACTACCGACATGTGATTTTAAAATTATGTAACACGTAAAACACGTTACATACATTACATTCGCCATGGCGCGGCGTATCATACCTACAAAACTAGTGCAATTAGGGCACAAATAATTTTAAAATGTTGTTTTTGTTTTTATTTATTTATTAAATCGGGTATTGGTAATTTTAGAAGTACGATTTGTCTTTTCCTGCGTTGAAGCGCTGCGTTTCAGTTTGAACGGTGGGGCAGCTGTTGTACTGTAAAAACTCTGACCTTAAAACTCATGTTTCAAGGCACCTGGCAGCATTTACATTATTGATATCTATGGGCTCCGGTAACCACTTAACACCAGGTAGACCGTCAGCTCGTTCACCCATCTGAGCAATAAAAGCATTTATTGAAACAAGAATGCTTTACGGCAGAAGTAGGCGCCGCGTAGGTAGATAGTAGGCTATCTATATATTAATACGTGAAGCAAAAACTTTGTATCCTTTTTAGGAAAATTGCGCGGACAGAGGAGTATGAAATTTTCCACACTAATAGAGAATATAGAGAAGAAGTGCACAATGCTAATATTTTTTTTAAAATAATGCATAAAAGATACGTTAAATCAATAAAGAAAACACTACACACACTACATACCATATATTTGACGCACACACGCATGCATACTATTTATTGTCAAATTTTGTTCTTGACGTCTGTTGTCAAATTGAGATTAAATATTGTTTGTCTTGGTTAATATTTTTTATAGTGTAGTCTTGGCGAAATTAATGATTATAGAAGTATGGTGCGGCTAAAATACAATCATAAAAGTGTACAAACTTACAATTCCAATTAATTATAGTCGAATTTCGACTACTGCGGGACCTCTAGTAGATTATAATTAGTTATAGTGTTTTATCTTTTTTTTTTTTTTTTTTATTGCCTTTGTAGGCAGACGAGCGTACGGCCCACCTGATGGTGAGTGGTTACCGTCGCCCATGGACTTCAGCAATGCCAGGAGCAGAGCCAAGCCGCTGCCTACTGCAAATCGTTATCGTTAGAAAGAATTAATAAAAAAAATTTGTCTGCACACATACACCTTTGAAACATCGCAAACATTTCATCTCAATTCATGGTATGTGAAAACGTTCATTACGAAAGCAGTAGCCAAGCGAATTTTGTGTGAATGAGTGATGAGAACGGTCTGGGGAAATGCGTTGCCGTGTAGATACGAGATATATCACTGAAAGCTGTATGTATGTTATGACATTCATTCGTTAGTTAATGCGCAACTATAGCTAGGTTTCTAAACTTAGTACCATTAGCATCTAGCATCATAATTGGTGACCTAAGAAAGTGATGAGCTATAAGAATATTTAAAAAAAAAATAGCCTACTGAGTTTGTTTCCTCGGTTCTTCTTAGGACTGTTACTATTTGTTGTATCCAGTGTTACAGATAGTGATAACCAGTTTTGACATTTAACAAGTTTGTTGTGATGAGGTTTTAGTGGAACTAAGTACTTTGAATATGAAACATTAAGAAAATAATTTATTGTCTTTAGCAGCCAAACCTTAGTTGTTTTCTTAAGTGAATAAAATTTAAATTACATATTTTAGCAGTAAACGTCTTATCATACCGGTATTAACGTAATTCACGGTAGTAATAGACTGTGTTAAAACTTTTTCGATTTCCATGAGCGACGCTGACCATGTACCAGCAATAGAGCCATACATTAGTATGTGTACACGGGTGTGTTAAAAAAAAAATTATGCGCGTGCAGCTTGGTGTACTTGGTCTTGGTCAAATTTCTTTGTAATAGTGAATGCTGTTTAAAAGAGAAACGACCTAGCTCGCTTTGTCCTTTCTCCCTCTTCGCGGCTGAGGTGTTCGCGAGACGCTCGTTCTATTTTCTCACTCTCGCTCTTCCAAAAGTATATCTTTTCTCTCTAGCCGTAACAAATCTGTGGAGAGTCCAATTTTACTCTCAACGCGCTAAAAGAAGTTTCACTCCAAAAAAGTAGTTCCTCACGGATCGGAAGGAGCCACCATCCTGCTTATATCTAGTGTGAAGGATAGGGCTATCGAGGTTCCAATGTCATTGAGACATCGATATAGTTTCTTGTTCAGTGGTATGTGGACGACATTCACTACATGCCTGATCCTGTGGACCGAATGGTAAACTGTCGACGTCGCCCTAAACACGTAATTGCGGATCCTCTCGGTCCATTAACGGGGCTTTTAGGTACCTCAAGCACTGGTCACCGAGTAAATTAACCCATAGACACAGCCCACTGAGTTTCTCGCCGGCTCTTCTCCGTGGGTCACGTTTCCGATCCGATGGTAGATTCTGCGAAGCACTGCTCTTGCTAGAGCCAGTGTTAGCAACACTCCCGGTTCGAGCTCCGTAAGCTCACCTACCCGTCGCGGAGAAGCTGAAATAGCCTTTCAAGGCTATCAGCATGGGTAGGGAAAAAAAACATCACTTTATGACGAGCATGGACTCAGATAAACTAAAAAATGGCGTGACAACAAACAACTCGTGAGCCCGTTCATCATCTACGCTGGCAACAGGTACACTGTTTCTTGTAGGCTGACATTTCATAGTACGGTAATCTTTTCTGTTTTATTTTTATTAATCAAATACAAAACTTATATTTTGTATCCAACCTTTCACCGTTAAAAAATATAACAGTTGAAAATTTGAGTTTAGAGGAGTAAAATATTGGAAGCTTATCGTTGCTTGTTGCACAGCCTTTCAGTGTGCTTATTCCATAAACAGAACTCTCGACGTTGGCGACTCAGTTCTTTGTCAACTTCAAATGATTTGCATTTGCCTCGCATGTGACACGAATACGACTTCGTGTGCGCACGCTGAAATTAAAACTTCATTTTTAATGACGTGTTAGCATATGGCTCCATGATCACAACTCACACATTCACCTGTTTTGAATTTTTTATCATATTTCAAGGGAATTGGGTAACATTTTCCTCGTACATAATAAATATGTATTTACAATTTTTTACGTAATTAATGATTTTCCTGGTACAATATTCGAGGTTCGCTTACACAGTTTTTTCGCCATGTTTTGTACAGTGAATAGCTTTTTACTGCTGTAGATGGGTAGACGAAATAAGGCGTATCTGACGCTGAGTGGTCACCACTGTCCATAGCGCTGCCAATGTGTGTGTAAGTCGTCATTCTCTTTGAAATCCGACTTCGAAGTCTCAATGGTTTTATTATACATGACGGAGTGACCGATTTTATTGAGTTTTTAAAATGATGACGTCAACAACTGATGATGGTGACATTGGCACCATGTTGTTATTACAAATGGTCTCGTCTCGTCTTCATGCAAATGGTTCTCGTCATTGTTGTAGTTGTCATCTACTAGTATAGTGACAGTAAATAATACTCACTTTTCCAATGAATTCCATTTATTACACTTCAGTGTACAACAATAACAACAGAAAGCTCCGCTGCGTTCGACCGCTCCAGCCTGAATGTATTTGTCCGTTTTTTTCCTACCTATGCTGATAGCCTTGAGAGGCTATTTCAGCTTCGCCCTAACATGTAGGTGAGCTCATGGGGCTCAAACCGGAGAGTTGCTAACACTGGCCCTAGCAAGAGCAGTGCTTCGCAGAATCTATCACCGGATCGGAAACGCGACCCACTGTGAAGATCCGGCGAGAAACTCAGTGGGCTGTGTCTGTGGGTTAATTCGCTCGTCGAACCCTTCCTCGCTATGGTGTCCGAAGAGAGTCATTGGGCTAACGGCGGAGGTGTTAACACGCCTATTAGGGAGTGGGCTGCTTGAAGTGGTATTCGGAGGGTGACCCCTTTTGAAGAGCACCGCTGTGCTTTCCGTGGGGCTGATGTCAATGGGCATCTTCCGGAACCACTGTCACATGGTGGTTACTGCGATCTGGAGTCGCTGATGCAATACCGACACGAGTAGTAGATAGGCGTCTCATCGGCGAAGAGTGCTAGATGGGTCTCCGCAGACCGGGGTATATCATTGATATACAAACTAAATAATAACTAATAAGTAGATTCTGCGAAACACTGCTCTTGCTAGGACTAGTGTTAGCAAATTCTTTCGCGTTGAGCCCGTGAGCTCACCTACCCGTCCGCGCGTAGCTGGAATAGCCCTTTATGCTACCAGCGAATAAGTAGGGAAAAAAAACCTACCTTAGTAATACAAAAATGTTGACAACTGTTTGAATCTACTATTAGGACGTGATATTATTGAATTATTGAAGTTTCTAACTTTTATTATCACTTTTTTTCCTATAGGTAGAGAGAAAACTCTTTTTACAAAACGCTCGCAAACAAAGCATTATCTGTGGGATATGTAAAAGGTCGAACTTACAACGATAGATAATTATCTGCCGGTTAGCTCTGGTATACAGCGAAGTACACACATTAGTAAATATTTCTTACACAAAAGGATTTTAAGTTTTATTAAAGAAAAAAGTTTCAACTCCATGGCAAAATATTGCTTTTATTGCATGTTTAAAAAACAATAAGCCCTTAAAAGAAATGTTAAAAGAAATGTCTTTACTTTTTAATAGCTTTAAATGTCAAAAATTAATTTTCATCATGTAAGCAATAGACAAGTTAAGACGTAAAATGTATCGTCGCCTATTAAAAGTGATTTGTATTCAGTCACGTTTTTAGATACACGTCTGTACAAATGAATAACAAAAAAAATGTAATAAGAGAATATTTATTCAGTAGAGACTGCTAAGTTGCCTACCAAGGTTTATAGATTTACATTGTAGATATGATGAAATACGGGGACAAATTAAGATTTGCAACACAAAGGAATTTACGTTATGATGTCTAGGAGCCCCGGTATCCATTACACATCAGGGAGACTAAGCTCATCTTCCCATATGAACGAGAAAACCTTTCGACTCTCGGCTTTGAATAATCTAGGCAAACTTGGTTTTATCAAGCTTTAGGCTTAATCTATAATATACCTACTAGCGGACCCGGCGAACTTTGTTCCGCCACACTGTTTGTTTTAAACACGTCAACTTCAATTTTTTTTTTAAGAGATTTTATGACCTGGTAACTAAGACCTTTAAGTCATGTCTAATTTTACTTTATATTCTTAATTTTATGAAAAATGATAATATGGAGTGAAATTAAATGAAGATGATTAATTTGAGACATTAATCAACTGGGATGAAATTTAATGAAATGAAATGATATGGGATGAAATATAATCGCAGTAAAATGGTGGTCATTTACTGAGATTTTTTCAGTGGACTTTTTGGAGGAACCCGAGAAGTTACGTCCAGCAGCTTTGTTTCATTTTCCCACATTTGTGCACTTTCACAGATATTAAACAGTTAATAAACCACCATTATTACACATTTAAACCTGAAGAAACACTAAATAGACAAAATAAAACAAATCACACAACTTCATTCCTCGCGTTCCCGCCAAAAAGTCCCAACTTCAAAATTCTACGATAATTAACCATAGAATATATTAGGTACGTTTAGCTGTCAGTTGCGTTTTGTTATTCCATATCAGTTGCGTTTTGTTATATCACGTTTTATGTCACGTCCCACGGGAACGTGATAAAAAGTATCTTATGTCCTTCTCCTGGTTCTAAGCTATATCCTCACCAATTTTCAGCCAAATCAGTTCAGCCATTCTTGAGTTATAAACAGTGTAACTAACACGACTTTCTTTTATATATATAGATTAGTGCTCATCTAGCGATCGAAATTGATTATTGACATCTCACGATTTACAATCATTCTCTGTATATTTTGTTTTTTATTAGCTATAAAAAAACCGCTTGATAAACAGTGAAGAAATCCATACTTTTAGGTGTTACCTCAAACATTTTTGAAAACACTGAACGCTATCCTGTAGTAGCTCGTAAACATAAAAAGAAAGTCGATTATAAATTATCAAGCAAATTGTTCCTTGTCTTTATTATTGATATATATATAGATAGATATTTCAAGAATTATAAATTTGATCCTTGTCGTCTAATTTGGAACGTTATAATATCATATTTTAGAACACTATAACACGATATTTGAATCCCCGTAATAACGATAAATTCAGTAAGGTTGCTTCACGGCATAAATAGGTTTGGATCGATTTAGCTACATACCTGTGATGGCTCTCTTCTACGCCAACAGTTTGAAAGTAAAATTAATCATAAAGTAGCAGTCAGTTGTGTTCGGTTAAATTTTCGAACTCTACGTTTTGTGTTTCTGGAAAAATTGGCTTCGCATTTACTCGTAACTGAATTTCACCTGCGTCTACGAAAGCGACGTGTCAGAAAACATAATTTACTCAATGTTCATGCTTGCGTTCTTTTTTTGGGTTCCGTACAACCGACTAATATGCAGAATCCTTATAAAAACGATTTTTTACCGCGTTTTCTATTACAAAAAATCAAATACAGTTATGTAATTATTCCGATAATTCGATTTGGAACCAAAAAATTTGAAAAGTGGATAGCGGGTTCATTCGTTTTTCACGAAAAAAGTCAACGATTTTTTATTAAGTCTAATATCTCACCGATATGCTATGATACGGAATTCTCTCCACGCGAGTTCGACTCGACCTTCAGCAGTTATTCCATAGCGCCATACATGATGTTTCGTTCGTAATACTATCGCTTTATAAACACACATACATAAATGCTATTCCTGTTTCGTCACGCGTCTTTTTTATTTTATTTTTGTTTAGAGTTTTTTATTATTCTCGTGCTTATGTTGTAGCTTTTTAATCTTTTTGTTTATTTATTCAGTGAGCATGTGTGCATGCTTATTTTGTTCTCACAGTCGTTCTGGCGTCGCTGCTGTCGGTGGTGCATACCAACAAGGGGCTCCATAGACACGGCTATGCAACTACACAATGGTGATATGAACCATGTGCGTATACGAGTATTGTAACAGGTGGCGGGCAGGTGAACTATCGCAGGGCGTTGTGCCAACATTCCTGAAGCCGTCTAAAGATGTGTGAGATTCGCAGACGTATCAGAATATTTATTGAGTAAAGGCAACGTTTGCCGTTCTCGGGAATGTTAGTAATTAAAACCCGCTCTGTGTATCTAAGCTTTGCTTACATTTCATTATAAAGTATAAGAACGATACTGTCGTCTTTTCAGTGTTAATTTATTTTAACCGTCAACGTGCGTTCAATGCTTTTTGTTAACAGTCGCTGCAGGCAAAACTCTCCTTCAGCTCTAAAGAGATCGTCGCTCTGAGTTGCTCCTGGTGTAAAGACGCCTACCACAACAAAGAAAGCTGTTTTAATCTTCAGCGAATAGGGGAAGAATGCTCATTAGGTAACAAATATTCCAACGATTCACGATATTTGTCAATGTTTTTTTTTATTTTTTATTGCTTGGATGGTTGGACGAGCTCACAGCCCTCCTGGTGTTAAGTGTTTACTGGAACCCACAAACATCTACAACGTAAATGCGCCACCCAGCTTGAGACATAAGTTGTAAGGTCTCAGTATAGTTACAACGGCTGCCCCGCCCTTCAAACCGAAACGCATTACTGCTTCACGGCAGAAAATAGGCAGAGTGGTGGTACCTACCCGCGCGGACTCACAAGAGGTCCTACCACCAGTAATTACGCAAATTATAAATTTGCAGGTAGAAGATTCATTACATTTATGTTGTTATCAACTTTTAGGTTCACAATCAAATATAACAGTACCACCTTCGTGGATTGTTAAATTGCCCAGAAGAGGGAGTTTTAAATCGTCGCTAAGAAAATCCCCGAAAAAGAAAAGTGCCTCTAAAAAGAAAGGAAAGGAGTCGAAAAACGAACAGAGAACTTTCGTTATTAAGCCCATACCGACAACGAACGTAAAACCGGTGTTGGTTTTCATTAATCCGAAGAGCGGCGGCAATCAAGGGGCCAAATTACTTCAGAAGTTCCAGTGGTTATTAAATCCTCGACAGGTGTTCGATCTCACACAAGGTGGCCCTGGGCCCGGGTAAGTACTAATTCGCTTGTCATATTTAACTGTCTTATTAATAAAATACTCAGCGACCTTAATAAAAACTTAAACGTATTATCGTACATTCCACTACTTCTGAATAACAAATGAATAAATAATCTTAATAATTTTTCAAGCTATTATATTTTTAACAAGCGGCCCGATCCACCTACGCTCGGGTGTTTAACAAAAATTTTAACGATATTTGACATTGTTTTTTTTTTCATAAAAGAACACTTATTGCGGCATAACTCTAATAGTTAGACATATGTTGTCGCGACACTTTTTGTACATAATAATGTGTTCTACAAAGTCGTAGTACATTATTTTATTCTATCATCAGTAGTTTCGCAGCGCGATGTAAAGAATATTTTAGGTAATTTTTTTACACCTTGGGTTACATTATTGGAGTTTTAGTAAGAATCCCTAATTTTTTTCAAAAAAGATTATAGCCTATGTCACTCGGGAATAGTGTAGCTTCCAAACGGTGAAATAATTTTTCAAATCGGTTCAGTAGTTTCGGAGCCTATTCAATACAGACAAACAAACAAATCTTTCCTCTTTATAATATTAGTATAGATATAGATAAACATACCGAATACATATTTTAGTTTAATGAACATACCGTTTGAACGTTGTATCGTAGACACTATGATCAAAGTAGAACACAAAAATTTATCAGATTTGTAGCTGACTAAGGCAGTAAAAATTATTATCAATTAAAACTGATGTCACAGACTAGATTAACCTCATTCATTCCTATGGACGATTATCTGGCTAACGGAAAACGAATATCAAACTTTCTCCGTCGATATTTTCTGTTTAACGGCACATTACTTTGTTGCAAAAAAACCCAAGAAAACAAACTATATTGAAACGGCATCGGAATTACGTTTATATTAAGTAATTTAATATCTTCAGGAAAGATGATCCAATCACCCTGTACCTCTTGCACGCAATGTATTGGCAGGGATGATGTAAACCTTCATCCTAGTTTTCATATTAACCAAAATCAAATAATAAACAAAGTATTTTTTATTGAAGGCAGCCTTTGGGCATTTTTTTGATTATTATAAAATTGGCAATTGATTAAGTAAAAAAAACAATCAAGAAAAATAAACATCATATTTTAAGATGGTATTTTGTAGTTATTTTTGCATTGTCGTGTAGTACGTAAGAGTAATGTGCCTGATAACGAAGGCGGGGATACAAATTTGGACTTTAAGTGCTGGTTTTTCGTGATACGCGATAACGCTTAAAACATAATTAAAAAGAAATCTTTAACAAATTTAACGTCATCTATATTGCACTCATGGTATCTTTATGGTATATTTAACATTATATATCAGATACAACTGCATGCGTGTTTTTGATGCTACACACATGCAAATATGGCCGTCAGGATTGTTTAAATCCTAGATTCACAGACCGTGTGAAATTTCTGGTTGAATTCAATATTGAATGAGACTTTAGTTCTCTGTGTTTTATATCATATCCGTTGGAGAGTGCTTTAAAGGATTGCCTGAGATGATTTCGCCATCTCTATACGTCTCTCAATATTTACTTGTTGTTTCAGATTGGAATTATTTCGTAAAGTACCCAACTTGAGGGTATTAGCGTGCGGCGGAGACGGCACTGTTGGATGGGTGCTCAGTGTACTTGATCGCATCGGCTCACGTCCCGCCGTTGGAGTCCTGCCTCTCGGCACAGGGAATGACCTCGCACGAGCACTTGGGTGGGGAGGGGTAAGCATTAAACATTAAAATTTGTTCAGAGAAATCATATGTATTATAAACTGTGCAGTACTAAACTGGCTCATGACACAAAATAATTATGAAAATAGTATTATTATGTTTAGGCAACTGACGTATAACTCTGTGCAATTTGGTTTGTATAAGCGGATGTAGTCATCGTTTTAGTTGTCGTGTTTTGATGAATGGTCACAACATTGTATGTTGTTGATTACTTGTGCGTATAATATATATATAAAATTTAAATGCTGTAAACTAAAACAAAGTAACGTAAAAAATAACAACACTCATATGATATCCGGATAAAGGACGTATGTATATTTCACAATGCTTTTCGTGCACAGTAGAAATAGCTTGTGAATACATAGTGACGTAATAGCATAACTGCTATTGAATTATTTTAGCAACTAGAATCATACTGATAAGTGTGGACTGAGCCAAGGTGTAAAAGCTCTTAATATCTAAGAAATTAATTCTCTGTTTACCTGTTGTCTTTGAAGCGTTACAATACGCAGTAACGAAGCCATAAACAAAGTTTATCGCTTTGACCGTCAAAATTTTATTATTGTCTTAAAACGACAAACACAGTATCGTTTTATAGAGTGATTCGCAGCTGTTCATTACAAGCAAGCAATGCTACGTTTTATTACAATCAGAGCACACATTTTATTCGAAACGAATTTGGAAAGAGCATTACTTAATCAAAGAGATCTAGATAATTCATTTCATGGTGGATTACCGTACTACTCGCGCTGGCGCTGACCCAGCGCGGCATTCCTGCATGCAGTATGAGTTTGTTTCGAAGAGGCTCTGCAGTTGTAGTACTTACGAGCGCCGATTCCTAGAAGCCTACCTACCTCGGATGAATTCTGTCTCATTCTAAACTCTAGACTCGAATTGCAGAGTGACAGGCGGTTTTAATTGATTCAATTGCGGGATTCTTTGCTTACCGCCCCAATGCGAACACAAAAGTCCGGTGATTTACTCTTCATCCAAAAAAAAAACTAGACTTAATAACCTTAGACAGTCAAATAAAATCAAAATCAAATCAAATCAAAAAATTTTTTTATTCAAAATAAATGAAAGTACACAAGTCGCAGATAAATATCAAGGATCTTTTTAAGATTCCATAGCCGCACAGAAAGTTCATCTGTCTATCAGCTATCTGTACTTTACAGCCATTTAACACTGGAGTTATTGGCACTATGCAGATAAAATTTGGAAAATATGTATTTTGTGAAGCACTACTAATGTTTATATGTATATACAATTATGAATAAAAAGTGTTGATTAGGGCTGGTCCATACATATATACATACATACCCAGTCTGAGCATCACTATTAAAAATATGTAGCTCACTCAACTCCATTGGTCTTAAAACAACCTTTTAATTTTGTAGCAAGATATCGATTGGAATACGCACTTTATCCACGGGAAAACTCGCCATTGCCAATCATATAGAACGCTTTAAAGACTGCAAATAATTAAAATTAACGGTTAGCTGGTAGATAACTCAATTGTTGAGTTAAGCTCGCCATTTTTTATATCTTATCGCAATTACTGTATTATATTAACAGTGTGTACAAATAAAGCGCTCAGAGCACGCTGTGTTCTGTAAGATGAGATCAGACAACATCCAGTATTCAGCTCTTTGCTTTCCAGCCACGCTTGTGTGGATCAAGCTCTATTTTGATTCACCTAGACCTTTTTTACCTCTTACAAGAATATGGCTCAGTCACAACCTAATTTCTGACAACCAATCATCAACGATGCGAAATAATACCAGAGTTGTACCTTACTGACTAATTGAGAAGATTCTTTAAAGTTTTGCGTATAAACTCAATAATTCTGCTCATTAAAATATATTAAACCGTAAAACTAGTTTTAATTATATAGGTGACTCGCGAAATCCCAAGAAAATAATTTCGCAAATACAAATAAATAATTTATTTATCTTTTTATGTTCATTTCTTCTGAGTTGTTTTGATTTTGTCACTCTCCTCATCCTCCTTGCGTCGATAATCTCACAGCCTTCCTTAATAACTTTCTCTTGGACTATCCCGCACCAACCCTGCCTTCCGCGGTTGCACGGATGAATTTTACTACCCTGCTCATTTTGAAATTATCGGTTGATAATATAGCATTGCGTCTCTTACAAGCAGCAAGGCCTAAGTCATTTTTAAAATACGTGACATCGTTCTGGTTGCTTTATTCATTTCCCTGAATAAAATATTTTCCTTTCTTTCTAAATTTCCTTCATAACTTTGTTCGCTCTTTTACATTTTATTCTGTCACAAACACGAGACGTTTTATTTTATTTATCAATAGCCTGGCATTCAAACATTCGAGAAATACAAAGCGGATGGAGAGTTTAAAGGTATTTTAGACAAAAGGAGTGTTCTCTAACCTTTTTAATATACTTATTTTTTATTGCATTGATGTGTGGACAAACTCACAGCCCACCTGGTGTTAAGTGGTTACTGGAGCCCATAGACATCTACAACGTAAATGCACCACCCACCTTGAGATATAAGTTCTAAGGTCTCAAGTATAGTTACAATGGCTGCCTCACCCTTCAAACCGAAACGCTGAAATAGGTGGGGTGGTGGTACCTACCCGCGCGGACTCACAAGTGCTCCTACCACCAGTAAAAAATTGATTAATTTTAATAAGAATTTAAATTACAATCATTGGTTTTTGAGATACAAAATATTTTCATTTACGATGACTAGTGAGTTATTCGCATTGCATTTACATAATGCATTCGAATATCAAATTAACGAGACCCTATGCCCGGTTTTTTCTTGCCCGTACGTTTCTAGTTTATTTCTTTAAAAGGTTTCGGTTTTCCTTTAAATTTCTTTATTCCCTTTCGTTATTTCTTTACAAAAAGTATTTATCTCATCTAAAACGGTTCCGCTCATGGACATCAGCACTTCAAGAGGCACACACAAACGAAAAAAACTTATTTGATGAAGGACATCTCATAAACCTATATTCGTATATGCATAGTAAGCATCGTGGACTAGAATTCAAACCAAATTCCGATACTGTGTGGTAAGAATGATCTTTGGTAGCGCAATATGGAAGAATCCAGAATTTTCAATGGATGAGTTTCGCTGATGTGACGATTTGTCCTGTGGTTAACAGGGTAACATGATTAACTAAACAATTGCTCAGAGCAATTTCAAACAAAGAACCAAAGCCCCTTCGTACACCCAAAGATACTAAGTATATTGTTACTAACAGTGTTACAAACACAATACTAGTTTTTATATTAATTAATGTTTTGACACTATGAACATCATATTTCGATTATTATTAAAATTTTATATTCATGTAATCAGAATTTATAATCTACTATCCTACTTGAATATAAATACATATCTATTTATTTTATTCATAATAAATATTTTCAGAAATCCGGGCTATCAATGCTTGCCATTATTATTCATGGCCATAATCGAATTCTTAATTCTACATTGTTTTAGGATTTTGACAGAGTTAATAATTGCAATATTAACTTAGGCTCTTCATGTTAATTGAATAACCTGCCAACATCAGCTTCTGGTTCAAATAATAATAATTTAAACTCATTTGGTGTCTATCAGAAGTCCGTTAACTTTATTTCGAAAAGTTAGAATTTTTATCAGCACAAAGATACTTCAGAGCTCTCAACCTAACAACCCAACGTTTAACAGTTTTTGGAAATTCAAAACTGTTGGCCAACAGTTCAGAATAAAAGGATTTTTAAGAAAATTTGTAATCATACTCATTTATTCCTAACTCACAATATCTTGTTAAACTTCAGAAACTACGTCTTTATTGTAAAATCTGTGTACTCGCGAACAAGAATGGTCGATGTATGCTTTTAAATTGAAATAACGAAAACGCCACCGCCTTTAGTGGCAGGTTGAAGTCTGTTTGACATCGGAAATTCGATTGTCTTACTACAGACTATCTTTTCCTTCAAGCCACAGCCTGTAGTAAATTGCATAACACGGCCTAACGCAACGTGGCTGTTGAAGATATTTAGAATTTCTTAATTTTATGCAATTTTACTACTTTTTTAAACGTTTCCGTCAAGAAAAAAGTCCACCACATATCAATTATTTCCGGCTACTTCAATTTGGCAGTTTAAGCCGTGTCGTACGAATTGCAGGCGCGAGGCTAAATTAATTTGCACCGTACCGAAAAAAAGTCCTTCAGTGTCATACTTACGCCAGTGTGGGTTTGTTCTTTGTAATCGAGTTGTTATTAAAGCATGTAGTATTTTACCTAGTTATAATTTCTATCTCTGTCGATCGTGTAACAACCTAACATAAAATGACTATGTTGCATCGCGGTCATTAATCAGGTTGCTTAACGTTTTCCAGCATAAATTACAATAGGGATATTAAATTTCACAACCATATAATTGACGGTAATCATAAGCTATAAATTTGGTTTTGTGTCTAAAAAAAAATCAAAACTACGATTGTCATTCTTTTCGTTTGGTATTAATTTAGTTTTTGCTTCCAGGGTTACGAAGATGAACCTATATCGAAAATTCTCGCCAATATTGGAGAAAGTGACACAGTATTGTTGGACAGATGGCAACTGACAGTGGAACCAAACACTTCGGCATCAGGCGAGGACACCATTAATGCGAAACCAGAGCTGCCACTAAATGTAGTCAATAATTACTTTTCGTTTGGCGTTGATGCTCACATCGCTTTGGAGTTTCACGAAGCTAGGGGTAAATTAAATTTATATCAGTTAATTAAGACAGATATAGCTCGTATAAATAAGTATTAATGGTCGTGAAACTGTGGTAAACGAAATCGCTCAATTGCGCTTAAACATGTGTTGTAACTATGCACGATCTGAAATTCTTACTTCGAGTTTTTGTAAGATTGAAACAAAAATATTAAAATATTTCTTTGCTGTTCAGCTTCCTTCACACTACAGTAAAATGGAAATTTATTGAAATTGCTTAAACAGGACATGTGCATATTCGGTCATAAACGTACGTAGGATTTAACAATGAATAATTCATATCCGCCTCGTGATGTTTTCGAACATGGAAATATAAAAGCGTAGACTTGTGCATAAATATTCTTAACTAACGCGTTCAAATTCGGTCGTATGTGAAGTGGATTAAAGCTTATTTCCACTTCGCGTAGTCGTTAAGTGTTAAACTGTGTTACATTAATTTCGTGACTTATGAATCGTAGATAATGAATTATTATTCACGTTTATACTTATTGTATTTATAAGTTTTGGTGGTTGACTTCCGTGTTGGTACGCTATAACATGGACAATCTCATTATATTGTTTAATAATAATAGGCGAGGCTAGTTTGATTTACATATCTTTTTTTATGAAAAATTAAACTTTGTAGCAATTTCTACTTCGCTACAGCTGATTTTTTACTCTTTTAAATTAAATAAGAACACTTTGTATTGTTCGTTGCGAGGTTCGAGGTTATGAATTAATAAGTCTTAATGAAGACCTTTCTCGCGACAACTCAAATAAACAATGCTGTTTCACACTAAAACTGATAAAATGGCTCATGATTTTAATAATCATATTTTCTATACTTCAAAACGGTTACTTAAGCTTTTGTTAATTATGAACAAATTAGGTCTACGTACTTTAGAATCAGCAAACTAACATATTGGGTATAATTTACATATATTAATGGCAGAATGGAGAGAGATAAAGCAATTGATCTAAAACGTTACACTATTTTGGAAATGTGATGAACAAAATATTCAGTAAGCCGTTAGAGAAATATTTACATATTTATAAATTACTAGATGACCCGGCGAACTTTGTTCCACCTTATAAGAAGAGGCAATAAATGAGCGGACTTTCGATTTTATCATGGTCAATTTTTTATTTGGATGATTAATATAAATTAAAATAGCAAGTATTTTAATGATACTTTATTGGCCATGTATTTTAGCTGTTATTATTGTTATTATTGTATTTTCTTGTTCTTCTTCAGTCCTTTCACTCGCAATGTTTCGAATCCTAGTTGCATTACGGCTTCGTCGGGAAAGATTTGATCGTGCCGATCGCGACATGACTTTCTTAATGATTACCTATCTCGGCACAATAAATAAAAATTCGAAACAAACACATCAACCGGTCAACTTCAAATTTTTTTTTATTTTTTTATTGCTTAGATGGGTGGACGAGCTCACAGCCCACCTGGTGTTAAGTGGTTACTGGAGTCCATAGACATCTACAACGTAAATGCGCCACCCACCTTGAGATATAAGTTCTAAGGTCTCAGTATAGTTACAACGGCTACCCCACCCTTCAAACCGAAACGCATTACTGCTTCACGGCAGAAATGGCAGGGCGGTGGTACCTACCCGTGCGGACTCACAATAGGTCCTACCACCAGTGATTACGCAAATTATAATTTTGCGGGTTTGATTTTTATTACACGATGTTATTCCTTCACCGTGGAAGTCAATCGTGAACATTTGTTAAGTACGTATTTCATTCGAAAAATTGGTACCCGCCTGCGGGATTCGAACACCGGTGCATCGCAACNCCGTGCGGACTCACAATAGGTCCTACCACCAGTGATTACGCAAATTATAATTTTGCGGGTTTGATTTTTATTACACGATGTTATTCCTTCACCGTGGAAGTCAATCGTGAACATTTGTTAAGTACGTATTTCATTCGAAAAATTGGTACCCGCCTGCGGGATTCGAACACCGGTGCATCGCAACAACGAATGCACCGGACGTCCCATCCTTTAGGCCACGACGACTTCGAATACTATAATTAACCATAAACTACATTACGTTTAGCTGTCAGCTGCATTTTGTTATTCCATATCAGTTGCGTTTTGTTATACCACGTTTTATGTCACATCCCACGGGAATGTGATAAAAAGTATTAGGATACTTTTAGGAAGGACATAGATGTCCTTCTCCTGGTTCTAAGCTACCTCCCCACCAATTTTCAGTCAAATCAGTTCAGCCGCTCCTGAGTTGTAAATAGTGTAACTAACACGACTTTCTTTTATATATATAGATGAATTAGGTAGGACTTGAAAAATTCTGTACATCTTTACTGATAGAGTAGGTTGTCCAGTTATTAGTGAAAACTATTGCTAGCATATTTATTAATTTTATTAGTATTATTTTATTTGTTTTCGCCATTTTCCTATTTCATAAATCCCTTATTCTTCTAAAGTTTCTAGTCCGGATCTTAAGTATTGCGCAATCTCGTAACAGTGGATGCTGTAATCCTACCCACATTTGCAGTGAAACAACCACGCGTTATGTATAAAAGGACATACGTTGAGCCAATGTAACTGACACTTCAATATTGTGTGTCATTCATACGCATTTTGAATGCAATCTTATATCTTTAAACGAGCAATTCTTGTATATAATATATATAATCTGAATCTCGGAAACGGCTCCAACGATTTTTATAAAATTTAGTATACAGGGGATTTCGGGGGCGATAAATCGACCTAGCTACGATTTTTTTCCAGAAAATTATTGAATTATTCGTATTTTCAATAATCAACTTTATCGATAATCAACTAAAACATAAACGTTTTTTTTTTTTTTTTTGAAAGAAAATAACAAATAATATAATACGAGTATAATATCAATATGTAATTTGTACTTAAATATAATTCCCTAAAAAACACAATTTATCAAAAAAAAACCGAGCAAAGCTCATTCTCTAGTATAAATTTAATTGTAGTATAAAATATAATTCGAAACGACCCATTTGAACGAAAAAGGAAGGTCTTTTGAAAAAAAATCAACATAGAAGTGATTTGTATGATTTGGGCTGTGAAATTAATGTTCATTGAAAGCGAAAAAGTATTTTGTTATATAATCAGAACACAAACGTGCCCGGGGTCCTAATGCTGAAAATAACGGTTAATATGAAAGAAAATATACGAGGCATGTGTCTATGAAATAAGCATCATCATAATTATTGAGCTGCCCAAATAAGTTTCATTTTCGTGTAAGTAAAATATTGATTTATTGAATTTTGAAACAGAAGCCCATCCTGAGAAGTTCAATTCTCGAATTAGAAACAAGTTGTTCTACGGAACGGCAGGAGGGAAGGATCTCATGCAGCGCAAGTGGAAGGGGCTTGCCGAATTTGTCACTATGGAGTGTGACGGGAAAGATCTCACACCAGTGCTCAGAGAGCATAAAGTACATGCTATAGTTTTCTTAAACATTCCAAGGTAAATACTCTTTTATGTACTTTTTATTAAAGGATGCCAAGCATTTACTGAAACACGATTAGAATTTACCAAGAAAAGGACGTGTTATTTTTCTTCAGGATATTAATTAGTCACCATATTAAAATATGACTTTTTATTATTTTTGAGTTAAACATGCACAATTTAACAGGCATAAAATTTTATTTACTGTTTAAAAAAACGACTGAAACGACTTTGCCAACGTAAATTCAAGGTCAAGGTCATTTCAATAAATAAATTCTGTTATTCTAAAAATATTACTCTTTACTTGTGAATATAACTAAAAATATAACATTAAAAATACTCCTAATTTCATATAAAACAACTGAAAAATAAATCTCTTCAAAAGGAGGTATAATTTCGGTACCGATAACAAAGGTCCAACAAGCAGAATATCGTTCAGCTTATAAATATTTCAAGGGTGTTGACAATCGTACAATATTTACAGTTACGGGGGTGGCACTCACCCTTGGAATAAGTCTGGAGGAGCTGTTGAGCCCTCTACTGAAGATGGATTAATAGAAGTAGTAGGATTAACCACATATCAATTGGTAAGTGCTGATCGAAATCAATGACGACAGTCGTTTATCTTCACGAAAAATCTTCTGAAATATAATACCTGTTTATTTCTATTCTGCACAGTTTTGCTGGTACTCGTTCAATATTTTCTTTGATATCATAAACAACAGACCCTTAAGAGATATTTTTCGTGTTCGTTTTTTCATGTCATAACTTTGATATGTTATATTTCCCTTTCCCTGGAGCCTTCAGAATTATTGCTTCCATTGAATATGTATCTATTGAATTCATGTTTTATGAAAAGAGTTACCTTCTATTCGGCTATTTATAATGGCGCGTTGTTTAGAAATTTAGGACTCTTAATACCGTGTGACGATTGGTGGCGAGATTGAGTCTGTATAAACAAGACTCGGTGCCAAGACAAAGTCTTAAAAAACATTTGAATGTCACACTGGATCACAATTCTAATCTACAATGTTTACTAGTAAACGAATACACGCACACATGCTTCAAAATAATTATAGCAACATCGAATCTCGCCTTTTAATTATTGTTACACTTTTCTATAAACACGAAATAAGCTAAATTTCATACCGAACATAAGTATATATGTAATTGAATATTAAATTGAGGTAGTCGGCGCGAAAGTGACTTAGCCCACATTATTTTCATATTCGTCCTGATATTTTGCAATATATTGGAATTTATTTAAAACCTATTAAAACAAGGCCTATTCCGAGTTTCACCGATAGATAACAGATGGCTTTGTAAACATAATTTTACGCGTATTGTGTTTGCCTACAAAACAGTTTAAAAGATAATTCACACCTTATTATTTCCATACCAACTATGCTTAGGTCACTTTTGCACTGACGGCCTCAATTAGTATTATAATGGTATTTTTACAGCCTTTATTGCAAGCCGGGGGTCATGGTACCTGTATAACTCAATGCAAGACTGCTAAAATAGTAACTACAAAAGTTATTCCGATGCAAGTAGACGGCGAGGCTTGTCGACTGGCACCTTCAATCATTACATTGTCTCGTCTCAATCAGGCAACGATGCTCGCTAAAAGAAAACCTGGGAGGATTATAGCACCGTAAGTTCTACGAATTCTTCTATTAAATGAATTAAATTATTTAAATTAGTTGTGGAAGTTTAACGACGGAGGGAAGATCTTCCACCGAGCAGCTGATGTTGCTCGGTAGACCGACGATCCTTTTGTTGTTGTTCGGAACTTGTATATATCGTCGTTGCAAATTTAAAATCTTCTATATGACATTTTGGGCCAAAATGATCTTTTCATATATTATGAAAGTTATTTTGAATACCTATACTCAGCAAAAACTCCCACGTGCATATCTCAATATTTCCCATTATTACGCGTCAATCTTAAAAAATCTTAAGTGTCGGTTTACATTATATTGTAGATCAAAGTATCCTGTGCCAAAAAAATATTTGCACATTTTTTCCAAGACGTAGTTTTATTAGATTTTCTCGAAAACTTACAATTATGTAGGAGATTTCAAATTTGCAAAGACCATATGTACGCTTATCACGTCAATTATCTTGTGTTTGTATAATGGTTACCCGCCACATCACTCCCCTCCGAAACCAGAGGTCATGTCATTAAGTTAGCGTTGTCCGTGCTGAGATCAGCTTGCAAGTGCCAGTGCTGCTCCAAGTCTGCGGTGAGTCGAGTCTTAGCTTGAATGCTGCGTCAGTACCGTGAGCAGTCCATGTATGCAGAGCTGCCACGCCGGAGATGTGTGACGTAAGGGAGATTCGGGCATCTGTCAAATATCGATGGTCTCATTCAAATTGAAAGCAACACAGCTATTGCAAATATAACTTGTATACAAATGTTTTTAGTTTTACTAAATCGTTATTTTCTGTGGATTTCAATTCACTTTCTTGATATTCTTGGAAACTCAGCAATTCAAAGTATTCACTTCAAAATATTTTTAATTACTCAGCAACGAACGTAATTTAATGCGATACACCCTTTTATCCGTCAGATATTCTCGTAAAACAACTGTACACCTAAAGTCAGTCTGTATTATTAAAAAAAAAAAGCAACTATGTAGTTTAATAATCCTTGCGTGTCACCCTAAGGGGTTATTAGTCATTGACTATCGATGTCATAAATTTATAAAACGAAGCAATTCCTGTATACTTTGCTACAGTATTTATTGTACGAGTGTATCATAAAATTGACGTGATGTCCGCGTTATTTATTCGGATATCATTCGAAAAAGCGTTGGATATTCATGCATATTTTAGAAGGAGTGTAATTTTGAAGCCGTAAATTTTATATTCGTCAAAAATCTATAGCCATTTAATTTTTTTAATTTTTTTATTGCTTAGATGGGCTTAGACGAGCTCACAGCCCACCTGGTGTTAAGTGGTTACTGGAGCCCATAGATATCCACAACGTAAATGCGCCACCCACCTTGAGATATAAGTTCTAAGGTCTCAGTATAGTTACAACGGCTGCCCCACCCTTCAAACCGAAACGCATTACTGCTTCACGGCAGAAATAGGCAGGGTGGTGGTACCTACCCGCGCGGACTCACAAGAGGTCCTACCACCAGTAATTACGCAAATTTTCAATTTAAATAACGTTTATCAGCTACCGGTACGTACCTAACGTAGAAACTTCAATATCCTTTATTATAATCAGCTATTTTGTTGCAGTCAAACAACATTAGACAAACTAACGCTGACAGTGAATCTCATTACTATGGCCGACTACGAAAGGCATCATTATGACAAGGAACTACTCGCCAAGACAGGTAATTTAACATACCATTATTCTACTAAACAAGTGGAAATCTGTACTTAATAAATATGACAAAGTCAACACTCGAATATGGTTTTAGCATTAGACAAATCGGGTAGATAGTTAAAAAACAATTAAACCAGTTACATATTGTGTTAGAAAAATATTAACATTGATACAGTTTTGTGGAATTTTAATGATATTTTTATTAGATAGAATGGGTGGACGAGATCACGACCCACTTAGTGCTAAGTGGTTACAGCAGTCCATAGACATCAATAACGTAAATGCCGCCACCCAACTTGAGGCATGAGTTCTAAGTCTCATTTCCTTAATAGCACAGCTATATTATATATACCCACGCATTATTACTTCGCGGCAGAAATAGGTAGGGCGGTTGTACCGATATAAAAAGCCCTACCAGCAGTCATTATGCAAAAACTTTTGCGCGTTTGATTTTTACTATACAGTGTTATTCCTTCATCGTGGAAGATATTCGTGAAGTTATGTGAAGTTAAGTACACATTTCTTTAGGAAAATTGGTACCTTAAATTTTTATTTTTTCAATAAACGTTCAAACATGTCAAATATTGCCCTGAATATTCACAGAGATATTTTGACAGTTTGACAGACGAGTAATGAATGTTTTTTCTTTGTTCCTGTTATATGCGTTCGTGCTAAGTTAACACATTTAAATTGACCTATGATAGGTGTCATTTCGTAAAAGATACAAAAGTGATCATCTTCAGTGATCAAATCCATTCCCCTTTATCAAGTTTTGTTAAACACTCAAAAGGAATATATTCAGAATTATATCAAGTTCACGAAATCTAATTATATTGTTTATTGCCTTCTAGCTTTTAACATCACCCACCTAAATTGAGTTAGACAATTACATGACGGTATTAATTTCTGTTAAAGATTTTCCTCCGCTTTCGTTAATGCGATTATGTAGATGACGTGACGATCATTAGTACTGGATTTGCCTTTATAGATAGACATGTTGTACAAATTGAGATATTGTTGATCTTTTGATGAAAATTGCTTATTTGTACGGTTCTGTTGTTGTACGGTTATTGCACAGTTCAATATAATAATATTTGAAATGAGGTTTACCATTCCCAAAGAGGGAAGGCCTCTGGGACCGACCTACCTACTCTGAAAGACGCTCGTGGTACTGGTATCTAGTGATGCCACTATCCGCGGTGTTAAGATTCTACAATTATTACAAATTTTTCTAAGTAAACGCACACAACACGCCTAGTGAACGAGACCCTCTAAAAAGTGGATCCTGTAATAAAATCGAACCCACAAATGTTATAAATCTGCCTAAGTAATAATGATAAAGTGTGACACTACACAAATCCATGCTGCCTGTTTTCTGCTTAAATTCTTTTATTCCAGCTTAAGTATTATACAATACAGTTCAGTTGAGACTACAATTATCTCTCGGGAAAGGCAGTGGCTTACACCGGTCAGAGGGGGCCGGTAAACACTCGTTTAGCCATGAACGAATTTTATAAAAAAAAAAACGAGGATTTTTCATGATTTTCCTATATATCCATTTTTTTAAATGCGAATATTATATCGCATTTACAAAAAAGGTTAGATGCTTTAACACCATTTTCGAAATTGAATAGGTATACGAAAAAAGTTATATGTTCAGGATTTTGACATTGAAATTTGTTAGATAGGTATTTCTTCGTTCTTTATTTAAACTATGCATGATAAATAAATTGACAACAAAACAACAACGAAAATAATAATTTTGTTTTAGCCGAACGTGTGGGCTCTTTTGATGTGAATCCCGCAACTGACTTGGAGCAAATACGTACCCTCATTCAAAACATGATCAAAGAATCTCAACAGTACTCCAACCTTGTTGACTGGTGGTTTGTTGACTGTAAGTACATCCTGTCTAAAGCACGTTCCATTATCTTCATTAAACCATTATCTTCATTTAAAAAAAGAGCTAAACAATTTATTCCATGATCTGACGATCGCTGTTCAGAGCTCTAAAGCTTAAAGTTATTCGATCACGAGATGGACAAATTCATATATCTATTTAAGTACTCAATTTAAATAATGACTTCCAAATTGTTTTTTTTTTTAAGTTAATATATAGATCAGGCAAATATTCCTTTACAAATAACCTGTATTTTTATAATAAGCAAAATATTATATAGCAAAATAAAATTGGTTGAAGAAAAGAATTGCATTATTATAAATTCGGTACATATTTTATTTGAGGCATTTCGGTGTACTTGCTGTAATAGTGGAGGCCGGCGGGCACTTAAAGTGCTTTTCCCAGTCACAAGGGACGAGTGCCGTTTGATAGCATTAAGTGTGCACTATCTAATACCTACCTATCTAAAATACAGCCTCGACAATAAAGGCCTTCTAAAGCGATCGTACAAATGTTCATTTAAAGAGCTTTAGCCTAGACTCGATGCGGCGGTTTACTTGTGGCTACTTAGATTTTGTAATACAAAAGAAGGTTTGTTTATTATTGATTTTATTGTTCAAATGAATTCAATGAAGTTTGTGGAATACTTCGAATTGCGTTTGACGCAAAAGATGAAATGCATCGGAGAATGAAGGCAACGAAGATTATTTTATACATTGCGTGCATAAATGAAATACGATAACGGCAGTCACACCCCTCAATCGGATTACATGATTGCTCCGCGACAGAAATAATTACCATGCTGGTACCTACTCACGCAGTCTCAGAACCCCACCACCAGTAAATGTCAGCTGGATCGAGGTACGCTGCTGCCGATTCTCCGGTGAATCGCTTAGTCGAATCTCACGACACTCACGGGAAGAGATAGGGTGCTATTCAAAGCCTCGACGCATCCAAAGTAAACTCTAAGAAGTTATGAATACCAGATAATATTCCTGATAAAACATCTTCACTATAATTCCGCGCAGAAGCACACTGGATGCTATAAATGGAATCTGTTCGCGGATCTGAATCGAGCTCAATTTAACTGCAAAGATACACACACGGAAAGTTATTGATCGGAAGCTATTTGAGACTGAATAGGAAAGATTTATATACAGTTTTGATGTTCCTTTAGTTTAAGAAATAGTTAAAATATATCCATCTTGTACGTGTCAGAATACGGTAAAATGTAAGTTTCCAAATCATTAGCTGATTTACCGAAATTCTCGCAAAACTGTTTGGTTGAATGAATACTTCAATCGAAAGTTTTGATGTTTGATACCAATTGTAGAATGCCATTGACTAAGCCCCTAAATCTTATATGTTTTTTTCATTCAAGTGAATGCACTAATGACTTTTTAAATGGCTGTGGAAGCCCTTAAGCAAAAATATGTAATCGCCACCCATTTTGAGACATGAGCTCTTAAGTCTCATTGTGGACTCATCAAGTTTAAATTTAAACAAAAAGTACAAGTGTAAAAATAAAATAAATCGTAGCAATGTACTCGTAGAAAAGAGATATACCCAACTATTAAAATTTTATATTTTTGTGTTCAAAACGAATATTGTAATGTATTGTTAAACTTTTAGACATCCATAAATCATTCGAAACGTTGACATCAATAATGAAGATAAATTTTCTGTTATTTAAAAAAGGTTACACGAAAATACTTTATCTTACTATGACATTTCCAAAAAAAATATGATATAAATATGACAGACGGGATATGTACGACGATACGATTAATTAATACTATTTTATTTATGTTAAGCGATTTTTGTTTTTTTTTTGTACACCCAAACCATAGTTAAAACCGAAGCATGTCCTTAGTTACAAAAAGTATGCACTTTTTGTATATTTTTATATGTATATTTTTTCGTAAGTAGGAAACTACTTAAATTACCTCCAATTTTTTTTTTCGTATCTATTACCCAAGAGAAATGAGATCTGAACGAGTGGTTTTCATTCCTCGGCAGACCGATAGTCCAAATATTGTTGATTTCATAAATGTACAATCATTAGTACATATACTATTTAATATAAGAGTAACTTAATATAAGAATAAAATAAGAGTGAAGCATCCGTACATAGAATGATAGTAACAAAAATAGAAAGGAGGTAATTGAACATGACTTAATAGAAAATAAACAGTACAGTTTGATTTGGAGTAAGATATTTATTTAAAGTTACATTAAAAATGAAAGTTTCAAAAAAATAGCAGTGATTTAAAGGTTGTTTTGAAATTATTTTTATATAAAGATTTCTATTATTTGGTATGTAGCTTCTAAAGAGAAGCTACATACCAAATAATGTTATGAATCTTATAGTTGCTCTGTCGGCTACGTACTCACGGCCAAACCTGTAGTCATTGTTGACGAAATTCGCTACGGAAAAGTTAAAATCCTGGGAAAAAATGGACTACATCCCACTGCTGAACACGGGCAGAGAGAGTGAAATTGTTGATAACGCGGTACAGTTTTACTGTCTGATTTTTTCTGTTTGGTGATAGATTTTAATTATAATTACTCATTTAATTTCCTAAACGAGTTCAAAGATGTTTTAGTGATTCAACATCATTGTTTCCTTACGCGTACGTATGTTTGAAGCAGAACGTAATAACCCAAGTTACTTTTTTCAGCCGTAACAGCAGAACGATTTTTTAGAATCGACAAAGCCCAGGAGAATCTTCATTTCCCAGCAGATATTGGACATGAGAACATTTACATACTCGATGCGGCGCCACACACGCCCGACACCGAAACCACAGCTCAGCCAGACACTACTGCCTCACTCGACAGGACCGGTCCCTCAGTTTCTCTGGATACAACTACCGGATTGTCCGTGTCATTGGATATCTCACAAAGTGTTGATACGCCCAGTGCCGGAGTTTCGCTGGATGTACCAGAATCTCATGCAAGGTATGTANACATTTACATACTCGATGCGGCGCCACACACGCCCGACACCGAAACCACAGCTCAGCCAGACACTACTGCCTCACTCGACAGGACCGGTCCCTCAGTTTCTCTGGATACAACTACCGGATTGTCCGTGTCATTGGATATCTCACAAAGTGTTGATACGCCCAGTGCCGGAGTTTCGCTGGATGTACCAGAATCTCATGCTAGGTATGTACCTAGGTGTTTTATAGTACAAGACAAAAACATGACATTGACATGTTTAAAAAAAGACTACAATTTTTCGAATACAAAATTCAAATTCTTCACCCTCTTTGCTATGAATTATTTGATCTGATGGAGACCATAATATGTTTGCGAAGAATCGACTATTATACGTACGTATATTAAATTATCGGCTATCTTTATTTTGAAATACTATATGGTTTAAGATGGTTCAACACGATACTAGCTTCCACGAGAGACACCTGTTTGAAAAAATATTTGAAAGCGATTTGGCTAGTCATTAGCTACGTTTATAACAGAGAAGATTTTCAATATTGACTAAACGCGTTTGCCCTGCCTTGTTTCTGCTTAGTAAAGAGCATTTTTAAATTATGTTCAATTGATAAATTATGATATGATAGCGATATTTGCAATTTCGAATGATTTCCGCTTGTTTTCAACACATATGTGATGTAATTATAATCAACATACAATTCAATCGAGACTTAATTTCATAACTCAAGCTGGGTGACGGTATCCATGTCTATCTATGGGTTCCGGTAGCAAAAGTAGTATAACTGCCACTACGAAGTTGGTCTAGTATTTCTTTACAATGCGGAAAAATAGGAACAAAGAAATTTCTTAATAACATACCAGAATAAGAAGAAGCTCTATTTCCCAAGCGATGTATCCACAGCAATGTGACCTTGTATTAGACTCGGTTCCACTTGAATAGGGGACTCGGAAATAGCTTGCGGCACTATTCACTGAATAGCTCGACGCCATTCAACTCGTACCGTGAATAACGCACTATAGTCCAACGCGTTTTTGTTCGCTTCAACACAGGCCTGAAATGGGCGCACGGGTGAATGCAATCTACATAAAGTTTGCAACAAAATTCTGAGATTTTAATGGTTTCTATCAAGGCCGCGGAAATTGTGTCCCTTCTTGATTTTATTCTCACAATTTAAGTTTGTTCTAGTTATAGCTTCGGAATACAGACTGATATGAAAACGATTTAAACATCGTCATGAATACATTAATATTCTTCTTTTGCCCAATGCTATGTACATACGTCTTTGGGGGATTTTTGCTCGACTCCCTGCTGACAATCAATGTGAATCGCAATATTATTGGCACTGACTAGATTTTGTTGTATAAACGAAGGTAAATAAGTTTGACTTTTTTTATGTTTCATTTTACTAGCGAATCCGGTTTTGGTAGTCCTGCGAGAACGTCAGAAGACCAATTGACCCCACAGACCCCTCCCCCCATATACTCTGTCTCGGCTCCTGCAACTAAAACCTCTGCTCCTCCAACACCAAAGACAATACCCCCATCTCCCCCTAAAGTTCCTGTAGTGACCCAAGAGCCTAACTCTCCGCCGTTGTGTACCAGCCCACCAGCCAAAGATATTCGACCAACACGCGAGTCCATCGCCCGATTCAAAACGTAAGTCTTTCCGTTTTTATTCTACCATAACATCTACTTCTGAGTGTTTCCGTAGCCGTTTTGATGGCTTTGACATTGTCACAAACAGTTAATGAAATGTATTGATGTATCTTCGGACTCGATAATGAATTCAAAACGAACCTGTTCGTGTGAACTTATATGTTGAAACCCTACAGAAAAATGTCAAAGCGATCAAAACTATAGTGTTGGAGAGTGAGTGATTCACCCAATTTTGTAAAGTTACGAACGTAATGAGCAAACTTGTAGTATTTCTCTTCTCACGTTTGTTCTGAGCCTTTAAATAGTTAGTGTGTACACATTGTAGGGTCGATAGATAACAGAGTGTGATTAATGTCGTTAGGTGACCGCACAGGTTTGACTACTAAAGCACGAGGCACACTCGCCACTCTAATCTGCACTCTATCTCTTCTTTCTTCTATTGCATGCAGCATTCATGAGAAACTCTTTGGACTTGACCAAGAGGTCTTTGGCTATAGGTGAGATATAATAAACTACATATAACAATAATACATTATTTCTATATAATTAATTTAAACAGTATTTTTAAATTTGTTTTTTTATTATTATTAGATGATGAAAACTACTTTGATTGAATATGATGGCATAAGATTGTAATTCAAATCATTTTGGTACAACGGTTACCCGACTCTTCAAACGGGAACGCATTAAGAGAATCTTGCAGAAAAGTGTTATCCACTAATCGGGGAATTAAGAATTAGAGGAGTAAATCAAACCCGCAATGCTAAGATTTCGAAAATCTGTATGAAATTATAACATGAAAAGTTTCAAAATCAGGCAATTCAACTTTCGTTTTGTTTCAGAAATTTGTTAGAAAAAACATCCGACGCACTACTAAAAGCAGCGAAAGTGGGCGATTTGAAACTGGTAAGAATGATAATAAGCGGTTTCAAATTGAATAATTGAATTTAAGTCGAAAACGTATATGGTATTTGCTTAGATTTTCGCGAGTCTTATTCATAATTAAAATGCTCGAACATGTTACAGTTTTCGTGGTTACAGAAAGGTCGGAAATAATAATAAAAAAACACCATTGTACCTTCAATGTATATTACAAAAAATCTAATATTACTATCTAATTTAAATTTTGTCCGTTCATTTAGTTCGCAAAAAAATTATTATTATCATCGAAAATAGATGTACTAAAACGCCACAGCTTTATTGTGCAGAATTTTTGTAATTTGCATATCAAAAACGTTTCGACCAACAAAAATCCTTGTTGATCAAAGCAAGAATATAGTTTGAGTATTTCAACTTGTATTATAATTAATTCTAATATGCATTCATATTGTACTCAATCAAAAAAAAACCGAAGATAAGGAACTAATCAATCTAAGCATTCAATCACCTTCAATATTTTGTGTCTTACGAAAGACTTTACAAGCCTACTCAACTTTGCATCAGTTAACTAGGTTGTAATCACGTCTGTTCTCATTTATTGCACTCAAATATTGATTGCGACCCTTCAAGAACAGTCTAATTGGGAAGTAGAAAGCGTGAGATCTTTGATTCGGTATATTTGGAGTTGGCTGAAGTTCGTATTTTATGTAACAACTAATTTGCTGAAGTTTGTCTTTTATACTCGTATATCACCGTGAAGTTTGTCTTATAGAATTGAACATAACATCATAGCGCGCTATGTCGGTTAATTAAAATTTAATCTTTATGTACGAATAAGTCTTGTCATCAATACAATAAACATCATTTGTCGATCGATTTTTAATGGGATATTCGTTCATCTGCAAGAAACATTGGTCCATGACAGCGGGAAAATATAAATTCGTAAATCAACGGAATCTAAAAAGCTTCTTTATAAAAAAATAAGAAGCCTTGTTTTAAATAAGTATTTTGTTAAGCATACTGCTGTCATTTTTATGCTTAAAATTTTGTGCCGACCATTATTGTGCAGACCCAAAATAGATTTACGCAGCTCTCAAAATTAATAATTACACAGTACGGAGATTCTAATCTTGTAAAGGGGAATACCGGTCATACGTAATTATAATTTGTTTAAAGATGAAAGAGCTTCATGCGGCCGGCTACTCGTTACTCTCGATCGATGCCAGCGGACAGACAGCATTGCATATTGCAGCCCGATACGGGAACAAAGAGATAATTAAATATCTGATAGCGTGCGCTCCCACCGCCATATTGAACATGAGAGACAACGAACGCGGTCAGACAGCTCTGCACAAGGCGGCGGCGCATCGACGGCGCGCGGTCTGCTGTATGCTGGTAGCAGGCGGTGCTTCTCTGACGCGCGCCGACCACGCAGGTCTGACGCCGCGGCATCTCGCGCTTCGGGCCGACGATCACGACCTCGCCGCCTACCTTGAAAGTAAGCTTTCCTGCCCTTCCCGTTCATCACCGCGAGATAGTTTTGATGAGATTTTTTAATAGATACCAAACAGCATAGTCATTTCATTCTCTATTTTAGGGTAGAGAGGAGAGAGGTAATTGCAACTTGTAAGTCAAGCCGCACTGTAAAACACATTGTTCGTAATTTTAATCCTCTCGTGTTCCCTCTCGGGAATTATCTACCCTAAAGTTCTGTCGTTCATTTTGTACACGCAAAAATGTGCATGTATAAATGTGTAAATGTGCATTAACTAGCTGATTGGAATTAAAGGGATGTTATATTTTTTACTAATACAAACAATTTATATAAATATAGTTATGTTTATATTTGTTTATATATATTTATTCCTTTATTATTCACAAAAAATACATTAAATATTTACATAAAGAGAAAAGTGTGACAATGAGTGTCAGGCAAGGGTTTCTTATTTTCATTTAACTACAGATACATTGAGCAAATTTTAGGCCATCGGTCCAATTTATGGAGGGCTTAACCAGGTTGCGTTTTCTAGTGCTCGGTCGCCACTCGAGATGTTTCGGACCCCAATGGCCTTCTGTTCTGTGAACAATGTGACCTGCCCACCGCCATTTCAACTTTCCAATCACTATGGTTTTCCTACGAATTTTTCACTACTGATTGGGAGCTCTGGAAAATTCCGAACATGTCCTCTCTATTGTTCTCTGAATGTCATTGATTCTTTTGAAAAGGCCTATTGCGAGCGACCTCGTTACGATGCCGCATTTCGACACTAAGTTTACATGGCTTATAAGTTAAACTAAAGACTATAGTGCCTCAAACGGGTACTATCGTCCTTTTAGAATAGTATACTACCAGCCTTCTAGCCTATACCTATGGCATTTCCTATTCATCAAACAAAAAATTAAATAAATTCTGGAGGCTTTCAGAAATTCAGCAGTAGCTCTTTCACCATCCGGCGCCTCGTAGTGCCTAATATTTTTAGGGCTTCTCTAGACCTCACTCGACCTCTCTAAAAAGCTCAAATTTCGATGAAACGATCTTGCCATCATATATCTTCAGTTTCGTTAATTGCTCACTGCATAACATAACAATGTATTTAAAAACTTAAAATCTAATTATTGAAAATAATCGACACTCACAAAGTTTTTTTATGTAAGCTATCTGGTTCACTAACATTATTTTGAGGTCTACCTGAATTCATTATAAAAGGCTAACGCAGCCCAATGTAATAAAGCCTAATGTGTACATTATACAGAACAGAAACTGGAGATTTTGGCAATACTTTTTAACAAACGTTATCGATTTACAATTGTGTTTACTGTGTCTACTGAGGCGTATGAGACGCTTATTTGAACGATTCCATCGCGATGCTCTCGACAAAGCGAAATATTTATTTTAAATAACTGAACTTTTCTTTGTAAATTCTTAGCATAAAACGATTAAAAAGCTATAATAAAAAATGGAAAGGTACTCGCTGAACTCATTCCAAGAATGGAATGTGAAAAGGATCTGAAGCCGTGATTCCCATTTTACTATAGAAACGTATGTATATTTCAGGTCAAGAACATTTCCAATTAGTGTCCGAAGACTTAGAAACTGCTGTTTGAACGAGGAAGTTCCGAAAACAATCACTAACCATTCATGACCTCACATGTCACCGTGAGTAACGTTACTCCACTTACGGAGTCTACTAAGTAAAGATTAGTCAACTGTCTATCCACAGGGATATTTCGATTATATGAATATGTTTTGTTACTTACATAGGAGCTTCATTGTTTGTCATTTAAATATTTCCAATTAATGTACTTATAATTAGACTGCATACTTCGAATTAATTATTAAGGGCATATTTCAATGAGCTAATCAATCAGTTAAGGTTAACGATTCAAACATCTAAGTAATTCGTTTGTTACAATAATTACGAATTTGGATTATTCATTTTAAAACTTTTATGCCGTCTAGGGCTCGCTTGCATCAATTTACAAATAGGTAATGTTCTGCATCTTGTTATTCATCAAATTTGAATGCTTCTCATCTGAGTAGAGATTGAGTAGGTTTAATGGGTTCTTAATATACCTATTAATCGTCGGTAACGAAGAGACTTTTCTTCGTGCATTTTTATCATTCTTCGTGCATTTTTATCATAAACCAAAGTATTGTATGTAGAATCCAATCAATTGTTTTTTCATAATGAATGCTCCAAATATAGAAGATACATAATCGCGCTTAAATATTAAAATAGATTGGATCCACTTAAAATTGATGTAGATCGTCTTAAACATTAGCTTAATTTCATTATGGCATTCGTGTGTAATTAGTAGTTTTTTTTTTTTCTGCAGTAATCGTGACGTGGCAATTGATAAAACATTTAATGGATGTTTAGGAACAAATCCCTATTTTATGATCTTAAAGTTTATGCAAGTATTTTTCAGATTAGACACTCATACACTCACTGTTGTATTCAAATCGATATAGTTATATGTAATTCTAAGAATTTTTGATTCTCTATCTTTACATATATTCTATATTCACAGAAAAATGGCACCAGATACTAATAATTTATAAATTTATAAATAAAATATACGACTATTTTCCGAAAACTTCACTTCACTTTGACAACTAGTTCGTAATTAAAGTCTCTATAAAATTGTTATAAATGTATAACGTTATTAAATTTTATTTAGCAATAACTCCTGAAATATAATAACTCCTGAAAGTGTGTATAGTATTTTTTACTTTCGTGTAAAATCTTAGTCTTGTAAAAAAATAAACATCTATTTTCTGTCTTTTAACCTTATTCCAAGTGCTTAAGAAGTAAGAAAAAGTTAACTATTAACCTTCATTTCTTGGCTGGCTTGTTTTTATCATATATCCTTAAGATTACGTGGTCGCAGGTTCCGCGAGGAATTGTTTGAGATAAACCCGTCAACTCCTTGCTATTGCAACTCCAAAGTAGAATTAATGGCGGAAACCGCTGAATTCGTCCACATTAGGTTCTCAAGTCTGCATTCTCTCCAAAACGAAACGCAAGAGTTTTTAGCATCAGAAATAAGTACGTATTAACTTCTGCTAATATAACAACGACAACCGGTACTATTGGGTATAAAAATTAGAGGCTGACTGAGCTAGAAATATGAAGTGAGAATTTAGTTGTTTATTAATGGATGTCTGGGAAGTAGGAATAGCTCGTAATAATGGGATTCACCACATCTGCTAATTTATAGTCGAACAGCTTTATAAAATAGGATTCACTGGCTTTAAAATAACAAAAGAGAACATTTTTTTCCTTTCGGTATTTTACCTTGTTTATTTCCGCGATCGAAGCTCTGAAACTATTTGTAAACGTTCATATCAGTGGAGAGTACTTATCGTAGGGACGCTTAGCAACTAAATCTTTCGACAATGGGAGGCTTCCACTCGCCCTTTCTGTCTATTGTTATTTATTATCGTATCCAATAATGTTCGATTTATTTGTTGTCTAGCTGTTCACAAGTAGGACAAGTTATTGTTGTTTACGACTATTTATGTCTATACTTCTATGTGTAGTAATAATTTAGTGTTTAACGAATTTACTCGTAGGTACTACTCGCTGTAGAGCGAACAATGAAAGACAAAGCTGTGAGAATTTCGATCGTAATGTAAAAAGATAGTTATTTTATCGTAAGAGTAAACATTGTACCCTAAAGATGTTTTGTGAATTTCTTAATTAATGTGTAGGTTAATTATGTAGTCGTTAGGTTAATGATTTTGAATTGAATGAAATGAAATCTGAGTTGTGAGATTAATGGAATTAGATCTTAATTTAGACAAAACCTCTTCGATCGATATACGTTACGAATTTTATGATCGTTCCGTGCTATATAGAACGTCGCGTGTGTACTTACTGAAATAATGATGGCTTTCCTTTGCCCCTAGCGCCCCTTGCCGATAAAACAAACGAGACAAACTCTACTCACTATTTATACATGTAACTAGTTACGCGAATTTAGCGAATTAGACATTTTAGAAGCTTCACAGTATATTATATTTATTCACTAACCTTAGGACAATTGAGTCGTCTATTATCAAAGGTGGCAATCTGTGCATTTGGACAAAAAAATGTTATTGATATGTCAATACAGATTGATTTGAATATAATCGTCTCCTTCAAAGAATACGGTTCAAAACCTGCATTAAATAAAGGTTAATACTTAACCTGTTATTTATCTAAGATGTCGTTCAGAGGAGTTTTGTGACTGCCAATGGAATACAAAGTCAATAATTCGTTTTTCTGATTTACCAATAATTGTCCAAATGTCACATTGCCGGCTTTGATAATAGTCGATTAAATTATAGTCGTATTTAAAATAACAAATGAATCTGAATACTCGTAGTTCGTCTGTCTTCGCGATAAATGAATGAAATATTCTTGATAACAATTAGGCGAACTATTAGATGTTAAGCCTAAACTTTAATCATATTATGATATCGTAAAGATAGTGTTTGTGTGTACATACTATATCGGAGGCCTTTGTTCCGTAGCCTATTGTATATTTCTCCTTAGAATATTTCACGACCAAATTCTTAAATTTTAATGGACAATGAATATCACTAGGTTAATAATATCCAAGCACTGATCTAGAGAATATGTAGCTATTCTTCGAATATAATCGAATAATGAGTGGAACTCACATTTCTATAAAACTTTTGATGATTAAAACTAAAGTGTACATGTTCATTTGACGCATGGTATTGAAATTAATTTTTAAAATGTATCTCAAATTAAATGTCAAATTTATATTAAAGCCGTTTGTGAGAATTTATAAGAACATCGCATTAAATAGGTATAAAAACAGCATTTAAAATAAAATAAAAATCTTTTAAAATTTTACACTAAATAATCCTAGATTGTAAGTTTCCAGACAACTATTAGTACTCATACCATTCGAGTGATATTTACGGTTCTGGTTGTATTTAAAAGCTTATTTCATTTGAATTTCATGTAATTGTCAAGTTTCACTGAAATTTACTATAGTTACCAAATGTAAGTAATGCGATATAGTTCTTTGTCTCGTTTATAAATAAATTGTCGAAATGTATTAATATTTATTTGTTGTAAAAGACGTTACGTTATATAAAACGAAGCATAATGTTATCGTGTTTGTTGATTAATTTAACATTGTTGAAATTATCAGATTATTTTCATGTTATTAAAATGTATGTTAATACCCTATTTATTTTATCATTAGTAAATATCCTTAGTATGAATGCATGTGGACTTCGTGATACAGTTGTGAGAAATTCTCAGAATTAATACCACCGACGATAACAATAACTTTAAATTTCGCGACAACTGATTCATTTATATATAAATTTCGATGCATTTTAATATTACATTTACCGTTGATAAGATGTGTCTTGAGAAGTAGTCCAGAGTATTTTGAGGCAGATATTACTTGTAATATTGTGTGAACTTTAAATAAATTCGAATAGTCCAGAGATCTGATAAGTTTTAAGATATGTAACATGAGTGGAGCTTATGTCTATAAGAGTTTTTCCTATAAATATCTGTAATTACACAATAAGAATATACATTACAATTGTAAAACTCACATTTATCAAATAGTTTATCCTTGACTGTGTGATAAAAAGCGAATATATTGACATAAAAAAGTAATTGAAAATATTAAATTGCTTTGACGGGTGTTCCCATATTATGATTAATAAAAATGTCTCTTTATAACTTTTTTGGATATCATCTGTTTTTAAAGGCACCAATGTAGTGTTTTCAGAGCACTGATTCAATATAAGTACATACATAACTTATTTTTGCACTCAATAATGTTACTAAATTAAATATTTTAAATATAATAATTTAAAGAAGTACACATAAAGAACAATAAAATTTGAATTTAAGAATTGTTTTATTTGGAATTCCAAATTATATTCCTTTCCAGTAGCTCGTATAAAAAACCCATGACTATCCTATCATCAATCTATGTATCGAGTTAGAGAAAATAACGCTGTTGGCTCTTTCATTAAACTTAAATACTTTTCAAAGTTTACTATCTTGAAGTCGCCCTAGTTTAAAAGGATGGGACGTCCAACGCGTATTCATTCGACAGAATGACTACACCGATGTTCAAATCCGTCAATATAGACATAGACAACGTCAATATGCCGTCTCGTTGAGCGATATGAGTTCGAAGTTTAATTAAATTTAAAACATGACCGACAATTACGTTTTATAGTAAGTATTAACCAACCATTTTAAATATATGAAAATGCTATTAATTCCTTAAGTTCATATTATACTTACTAAAGATATCAGTACCTAAGTCGTAGAAAACAAAAAGACATATAACCGTGTTTTTAACTACAGATTAAACCTACTTAAACTTTCTGCGTAAAATTAAAGTTATTATTGCAGTTCTTACTATCGAATACTTCGAATACTGTGAATTATCCGAAATATCTTAAATAATAGATTGGAAAATAATAAACCGGAGATCAAACAGTATAAGTATTTTCCGTTCCATCAGATATGACATGTAGCTAGTACAATACCAACAAATTGAAAGCAAGTCAAGAACTACGATTAATAGCCGTTATACCTGAATACAAACAATAAGACGTACGGTATTCGGTTTTATCACTGTTTTATTTCTCCGAGCTATGGGCTGCTTATTAGATTGCCTGGCTGCGAGTCCGTGTAAATGTCAAATAACCCACGTGTCACGGCGCGGTACCTCACCCGTTATTAAATCCTTCCTCGTGCGACAATAAAAACTTACCTAAGGTACGGAAAGGTTATTGAAGGTATACGTATCGTAGGTATCCAACAGCTGTCAAATAATAATACATATATATATTACATACCTACGTAAACTGTTTAGAAGCAACATTGGAGTATCTCGACATCCAAGACACAAGGTGAGACATCCGTGATGCCAATCTCCAGCCTTAGTTATACTGATTAATTTCATTAACATTCATTAATCACATTCATTTCATATTCTAATTAATTTTAACGGATCATCATGATTAAGATGAGATTTATTTTAATCTAATTACAGTACACAATACAGGTTGAGGTCCTTAGATAATGTAAAAAATAAACAATAATTATTATTTAAACAATAGTCATTTTTTTTCAGTTAGGTGTTGGTGGTTGCAATATTTTTTTAAAATACCTATAGGCTTTCTATTTTATGTCAAATTTATCAAAATTTCTTTTTTTTTTAAATAGCTTAGTCAACTATTAAATTTTAGTTAGTTCTTCGTTATTAATTACGTATTAGGAGTAGTAGCAGTAGTAACAGTTACGAATTAGAAGTAGTAACAAACAGTGAATTACTGTTATATCTGCGGTAGGCAGCGGCTTGGCTCTGCCCCAGGCATTGCTGAAGTCCATGGGCGACGGTAACCACTCACCATCAGGTGGGCCGTATGCCCGTCTGCCTACAAAGGCAATAAAAAAAAAATAAAAAAAATTCTGTTATATTATGTAGAACGCAAAAACGTAGGCCACTAATTGAAAACCGTTTTGTTCTTTTAACTGATCGTGCATGCTTTATTATGCACCAAAATAATAATAATAAACGAATACGGAACATTCAATATAAATAACTTTCCTTTTCATTTGATGTTAGTTAATAAACTTCCGTCTTCCTAATACGATAAAAGACCCGACCAATGTTATACTTTACTCTACGGCAACGTGTCCCAGTAGACAGCTCCAAGTTAGTGGTTTACTCTAAAAGTAAGGTTAACAATTCACCCTGAGGCCCACGACATGTCTTTTACGATCAATAAGAACTTTATGTGCCCTCAAAACCTTTAAAGATGGTATCCAAAGAAAACGTATTAAGCAAAATTTTATTTTGTTTATGTTAAACTATCTTAAATATTTAACCATTCATCTTAAATATTTACATAGGCGTGACCGTGCCCCTGGCATTCCTGACGTCCACGATCAACGGTAACCAAATGAACCGACGTATGTCCATCTGCCTTTTAAGGCAATATATAAAAGTCCGAAATATATACCTGACATTTTGTAATTGATTTTATGTAATTTAAATTAGGGTATCGAGGACTACGAGTGAAACCACGTAGCGCACGATTGATTTGGAAAAAAAGGCTTTTTTTTTGTCTTTGTGTTTAAAATATAATACCTTTGATCCTATATTGTATTTAACGAACTTCTAAATGGTATATGTATTTTAGTTTTGTTTGCCTTTGTGCAAGTTAAACACGTCGAATGAACTTCTTACCATCGGTATAGTATTATTTGCTTTAGATGTAACTTAACTTTGAAGAGCTGGGGAACAAACTCCTTGAGGTTGTGTTAACATCTACAAGATTTTGATATGCGTTCGTTTGTAATTTGGTTTGAAGTAAAGTTGTAATTCACTACAACGAAAATGTTCGAAAGTAAAATCGAATTTTTTTTTATACTATATGGAGATTTAAGACGATGCAAAAAAAACAACTTGACCATTTGGTATTAGCTATAGGGAAGCCAACATAAACAGTGTAAACAGTACTTATGAATCTGTAACACATTTCGATATTTTCCATGTGTATAAATTAACTGTTTACCAATATCCATGAATAATAATAGCTCGTCTCGTACTTTGTGTAATCAATCGGTAAAATTATGAGAATTTGAAAATGACTATTGGAATAAAAACTACTTTAATTTTGAAAAGAAATTAAAGCCAAAATATCATTGAGAATTGAAAAACATTTCATAAATGACTAAAAATTTACATTAGTCCAATCCAATAAAACTTACACAATGTTCCGCATTGCATACTTGATAGGCAAACACCGTAAAAATCAATGGAGAGATTGAAGAGGAAGGGGCGGCACACGGGCCATGACCTCTAATAAGTAAACAAAAAACACCACCAAATATCAATACTTTGATCGAAATTCAAAATTCCTAAATGACAGTAATTTTGTGCTTTTCTACCATTCTGTAAATATTATTAGTTCGGGGACAAAGATTAATTGTATTTTGCGAGTAAAAAGTTGCAGTAACACCAAAAAAATTATGAAGTTTGTGAACTTAACGCAGTATCGACAAGCGTAGTAGCAAATTGGTAAGACGTTTTCAGAGCGCGATTT